AATTTAAACTGTATGAGTTTATGTATGCATATATATTATATATATACACATATATGGAAAATGTACTTTTAGATGGATCAAAAGATACAGGTTTTAGCAAAATACACCAGAAATGGTATCTTACTATACATTCTGATGGCTCATTATTTTCTATGATATATTTTTGATAGTTTGTCTCTTTTCTCTCTTGCTTTCTAGTTGTTTGTGATTTTTAACAGATGGAAGCAAAAAAGGAACTAAGAAAGTGTTAGATGTGTTTAAAATAACAGTAATAGCCATAAATAAACATATAAATAGGTCTTCTGAATTTAAGATTCCCCTCCCTACAACCAAGTACTGTTCCAATGATTTATTTGCAAATTGTTTGTCTGGAACTCAAACATTTTCCCATTAAGAATGTTACAAAGAGCTTATGAGCACCTGAGGTGTCAGGCTATTAGCGCTGAAACAGGAAAAGCAGAATACACAATGTGTACTAATGGCCCAAAAAAGGGGGAAAAAAAAAGCATTCTCAGAGTTTGAAGGCAGAAATCATGTTTCATTTACCTTTATATCTTCAGTAACTAGCAAAATAGCTGGTATCTCATAAACATATAAATACTGACAGATGAAGTTAAAAGGAAAATATAATCTGAGGAGTCCATCGATGGGTGGCACTGTCAAGACAAAACAGGCTTTTTTTTTTTTTTTAATCTGTCTGTCTATCTATAAGGCAGAAAAGCAAACAGAGAGAGAAAACAGATTGAGACTTTTCTATCTACTGGTTCACTCCCATCATGGCTGCAACAGCCAGGGTAGGTCAGAGAAGCCAGGATCTCCATCCTGGTCTCCCACATGGGTAGCAGGGGCCCAAGCTTGTGGGCCATCTGCTGCTATCTTCTCAGACGCATTAACAGGGAGCTGGATCGGAAGCAGAGGGGATGCTGGCATGGCAAGAAGCAGCTCCATCTACTGTGCCATATCACCTGGCCCCCAGAGCAGTTTCAGCGTGGGAAACAAAGAGTGAGGAGGCTGGAGAAGAGCAATGTACATTCATATGAAACATCCATATATGTAAAACTATTACAAGGTTGGTGCTAGTAATTAAGAGAATGCCTTCACCTAAATTACCTGCTGTTTCCATTATTCTGTACTTGAAATAAGCACCATATTGTGGCTTGATTTTGCTGACAAAGAATCATAAATAATATTCTATCCAATTTATATGGAATTTTCCAATATTTTCTCCTATGACCCTTGAAAATATTTTATTTCACTTTTGTAATTATAAAAGTAATAATGGTGGGGCCGGCGCCATGGCATAGTAGGTGCTGGTTCGAGTCCTGGCTGCTCTACTTCCGATCCAGCTCCTTGCTGATGCACCTAGGTAGGCAGTGGGAAGATGGCCCAAATCCCTGGGCCCCTGGGCCCATGTGAGAGACCTAGAAGAAGCTCCTGCCTCCTGACTTCAGAGTGGCCCAGCTCCGACTACTGCAGCCATTTGGGGAGTGAACCATCGGATTGAAGATCTTTCTCTCTCCCTCTCTCTCTCTCTCTGCCTCTTTGTAACTTTACCTTTCAGATAAATAAATAAATCTTTTTAAAAAAAAATAATGGTTTAGAAGTGAGAACGGAGAAAAACACCAGATAAAAATCAGCCATCATTCTGAGAAGATACCTGTTAATATTTTCTTTCCTATCAAACTTTTTGCCACTTATAAGTAACGTGCTCTGAATAAGAATACAGTATATAATTCTTTATTTTCTGAATTTTCTATCAATATTATACTATACTTTCTCATGTTGTTAACTATTTTTGAAAACATGGTTGTTGGGCCGGCGCCGTGGCTCAACAGGCTAATCCTCCGCCTTGCAGCGCCGGCACACCGGGTTCTAGTCCCGGTCGGGGCACCGGATTCTGTCCCGGTTGCCCCTCTTCCAGGCCAGCTCTCTGCTATGGCCCGGGAGTGCAGTGGAGGATGGCCCAAGTCCTTGGGCCCTGCACCCCATGGGAGACCAGGAAAAGCACCTGGCTCCTGGCTTTGGATCAGCACGATGCGCTGGCCAGGGCGGCCATTGGAGGGTGAACCAACGGCAAAAGGAAGACCTTTCTCTCTCTCTCTCTCTCTCTCTCTCTCTCACTGTCCACTCTGCCTGTCAAAAATAAAATAAAAATAAATTAAAAAAAAAGAAAACATGGTTTTTAATAGCAACATCCACCACAAAGATTATCATTAATTTCACCATTTCCACATAATAGAAATAGAAAAATTTGACCATTAAAATTTTTCACACTCTACAATAGCACATTATGTATGTTAACTGCTTCTTAAATGTAAAGTTCTACACTGCTCTTTCAGAATTCACAGTGGTAACTCCAATATCCAGTAGTACAGTGTGGAGTGCTAGACTCTCCCAACTCCCCCTCAAATTTTACTGAACAATAAAACATCGATCAATCTAGGGCATTCACAAAAAAGCAAATGGGGCAGGCATTTTTTAGCTTAGTGGCTAAGGTGTCAGTTAAGATGCCTGAATTTCATTTCAGAGTGCCTGGGTTTGATCCCTGGCTTGGTTTGACTCCAGTTTCCTGTTTATGTGGACCCTGGGAAGCAACAGTGAAGGCAGAAGGGACTGGGTTCCCGCCACCCTCAGGAGAGCTCTAGATGGAGTTTCTGGTTCCCAGCTTTGGTACAGCCCAGTCCCAGCCATTGCTGGCAGATCAAAGTTATTTCCCTCTCCTCCTAGCTCTCTGTCACTCAAATAAATAATTTTTTTTAAAAAGGAAGAAAGTAAAAAAATTATAAACTTTTCTTCACTTTCTATCTCTGGTAGCAAAGAGGAAAGCCCCACAAAGATAGGTTTCTGATAGCCAAGCAAGCAAGAATAGCAAGGCAACTTTCCTGGTAGAGCCACTTTGTTTTCCACTTACCACAAAGAACCATCACTTTAAATAGGAATAGAACAAGACTGGTAATATACAAAATGTCTCAATCTGTACAGGGGTTAAACTAGGTTTTCACAGTAAGTGGAATGCTCAGAGAAACTGCAAACAAAAGACAATGTAACTAAGGTCCCTCAATGGGAAAACAGTGAGTTTCTGTCTACCACTCTGCCATTTTCATCATTTTTTGAATGAATAATAAATGCCACGTACTCTGTCTTCTTCTTATAACCTCCCAATTATACCAAATATTATTCAAGTTGCCCAAAACAGGACAATAGTTCCAGGAACTTAAGAATCAATAAGTCTTTAAACCAATGGTAGTTCACGTGAAAAGACTGAAAACAAATCTGCATCAGCTTCCTGACACTCAGTACAAACAGAAAAGTCATATTGCTTCATCATTTTTCAAAAACGTAAATTTGTGTATGCAAGTTTAGAATTCAGGCCAAAATTTGCTCATATTTACTCCCAAATATTGGGCTGGAGTCAAGATCAATTTACGTTCCTAATAAGCACATGCTTACTAATGCCATAGTGAAGTAGGTCTATATCTAATCACTCAGAAAAAGAGAATTCTGTGATATATACTAGATACAATGATGACGATACATGCTACTCTGGTCTCTTACCGAGAACTGTGGTTCAAACAGACATTGTGAAAATGAAGTAAAAACTTTGCCAAAATGTTCACTGATGCCCAAATCAAAACAAAATTCCCATAAAAGAAACCAAATACAATCTTATAATTATTTTAAGTTCAAACAAGGTTCAAATAGCTCAGAAATTCTATACACTTAAGTTTTCGGGATCTGAGTCCTGGGGCTTCTGTAAACATAAACGGAATAACTTGCCCAAGAGTCCTTACTTAGTAGCCCATCGCGGATCCCCAGGGAATACTCTGCAATCATCTCCAATGTACTTCAATAGATTAGGGTAACCTGGGCTTCCCTGTTTACAGGTGTCTCCACCTGCTTCCCTCAAGGAGGGGAGAGGCAGATCAGGGTAAGCAGAACACAGAACGAGACCGTATGCAAGCCAAACAACAGCCTGCAATCCAGTGAGATTGGTTCTTTTCCACTTGGGCTATTCTTTTCATTAATGTATGTACTACATGCTAAAGAATAGCAGATTCACAGAGCAGTACAATTTCTGCCCTCTCCGGTCTCTAGCTGGCTGACACGCGTTTTCTCCTCAAATAAACACATGCCTGTTGACGGATGCCTGTCTCGCTGTTGCAAACAAGAAATAACTGTCCTGTAAGACAAAACCTCTCTCTAAGGCTCCAGGCATAACCATACGTTGCAGTTAAAAGCACACTGGAACAACAACAAAAATCTCCCGGCACATCTGTCATTTAAAAGCACGATAATGAAAAGCTGTCGCTGCGACCCAATTTTAGGTCACAAGCCTTTTTTTTTTAAATTTTCTCTTCCCCATCCAGAAAGCGCAAACTTCAAAGGGAAGGGAATGGTGGCAATCAGAAATCGTTCTCCTTCCCCCTTCTTCTCCATCCCCCAAAAATAAAGACTGGAAAAAAAAATAAAAACCGGACGCCGGCCGGGCCCCCGTAGAACTAGCGCCCGCGGGCCGAGGAGCGCAGGGCTGACCACCAGGAGGAAAAGCGGCCTCGGGGCGTCCCGCGCTCCCCGCCCCCGCCGCCTGTTTAAAATACCGAGCAGGTGGGATTCCGGGAAGCCACCTCCGACTTACGTAACGGGCTTGTCAAAACCGGGCTCCAGGACCTCCCCCTCCCCGCCCTCGCCCCCACCCCCAAACAACGAGCGCCCCAGGCCAGCCCGAAAAGGAGATCTGGAAGGCAAACACCGGAGCCCCCCGCGCGCTCGGCGCCCGGGGCGGGCGCGCCTCGCAGCAACGCCGCTCCGTGCCGGCGCGGACCCGACCCGCGGAGGACCGCCGGGCTCCGAGGAAGCCCCGGGCGGAGGTCGCGGCCGTCCGCGCCGCCAGCCCGAGCCCGGCCGCCCCGCTCCCCGCGCCTCTGGCTGTCACCTCCCGGGGCCGTGACAGCTCCCCACGCCGCCGCTAGCCCTCGTGTCGTCGTCGCCCCCGCACTCACCTCCCTGCTGGCTCCCGGGCGGCCAGTGAGTCGCGCTTGGAGAGCGGCGCCCGATCCCCCTCACGCGCGGCGGCGGGACACGAGGGGCTCAATGCCTCGGCGTTAAGCCCGCTTAGCTCATCCCCAGCCCGGCGCTCCGCCCTGCGAGGCACCCCCGCCCGCCCAGGCCTGCCGTCTCAGTCAGACGGGACTCCCCCTCCCCTCGCGGCCGCGGCTGCCTCCGCCTCCTTCCTCAGCTCCAGCCGCGGCGGCCGCCGCGAGCGGCGCCATCTTGGCAGTGACGGAGGAGGCGGGGGCGGGAACCGAGCTCGCAGGCTCCAATTGCAAGCCGACCTGACCCGAGGGGCCGGCGGGAGGGCCTGGTTGAGGGACGTGGGGTCCTAGCGCCGGCCCTAAAACTGGGCGGGGAAAGTGGGCGGGGCTGAGCCGAGGTCTCTCGTGACGTGTGGGATAGTTGGGGAAATGCACCGTGGTTCCCCACCTCAGGTCGGGAGATCCCGAGCCCCAGGCAGGCGTGGGCGAGGCGTACTCTCCCTTCCCCTTTCACCACCCGAGGCACGGGGATCCAGGCCTCGCCGAATGACCTGTTTCTTCCTCCCTGCCTCTGCCGGGAGTCCTCAGCCCAGCCCGAGCCCAGCGCGGCGCTCTGAACCGCGGCTCCCTCACCGAGGGCGTGCAGGTTCACCAGGAAAGCCCCCGAGGGGTTAGCAGCCTCCTGGTAGGTTTCCGTCTCGAGATAGACGGTCTGGTGACCCGGGGAATTCACGGGGGTTCTCTAAAAAGTACGTTGATAAAATACCTATTGGCGGCGGAGGCGGCGGCGGGGGGTGCCGATTACATTGGTTAACTGGATATGGCTCCACCATTAGTGGCTGTTGGCAGGCTGCCTCTGGAAGATGAGGATCATAAAGGTTGATGACCTCCCACGGTTGCTCCGAGGGATAAGTTCTGTGGTACATATGAGGTACTCAGCATCGTGCCTGAAAGTACTCAGTGTTAGATACTACTCCCTGGACCATGGACAGAAGAAACAGGCCCCTTAAAACGCCCAGGTTTCGAGTTAGGGTTCCCAACCTGCACGAATAGGCACCCATCCCTTTTACTAACTCCACTTCATGCATCGTATTCAATTGTCAATCAACAGTCGTTGAAATGAAGGGACACTGGTGGTGAGGGAAACACAAAAAAATCTGCCTTCAGGGAGCTACAGTTTAGTGGGAGAAAAAGGACAATAAATATGTCATCCTATTTTGAGGGAAAACACGCCTTAAAAGTTATGAAAGAGGACCGGCGCTGTGGGGCAGTGGGTTAACCCTCCGCCTGAGGCGCCGGCATCCCATATGGACATCGGTTCGAGTCCCAGCTGCTCCTATTCTAGCCAGCTCCCTGCTAACGCACCTGGGAAAGCAGTAGAAGATGGCCCAAGGCCTTGGGCCCCTGCACCTGCGTGGGAGACCCGGAAGAAGCTCCTGGCCATTTGGGGAATGAACCAGCGGATGGAAGACCTTTCTGTCTCCCTCTCACTGTCTGTAACTCTACCTCTAAAATAAATAAATAAAATCTTTTTTAAAAAAAGCGTTATGAAAGGAATCCTGGGACAGCAAATAACAAATAACAAGATGGCTTTAAAAACCAGAGTGATCAGATGTAGAAGGCTCTGGGGAATTGCGTAAGGCCGAGGGACAGACTGTGCAAAGGTCCTGCAGCAGGCGAGAGCTTGGCTGTGGGAGCTAAGTGGAGTCCTTGGTGCTAGGGAAATCGGTTTCTCCAGGAGGAGTCTTGAATGAGACTGGAGGGGTGCTGAGGGCCTAGGAAGACAGAGAAACAAGATTGAGTTTTACTCTCATTGCAATCGGAAGGAAGGATTTTGAGTAAGGAGTGGCTGTTAGGCACAGGAGTTGGGATGAGTGAGGTTTGCAGTATGACATCTATATTTGTATTTCAGGCAAAATGTGGGCCAAGAAACTGCTTTTAAAGAAAAAAAAAAAAAGAAAAACTTGAGTTGAGCTTCCTTAACACTAAATCAGCCAAACTACATCCTCTGATCTTCATTTTCCTGGTTGTTAAAGTAAGCATCACATTTCATGTACAGAAAACACTATTTTCATTGAAAATTGTTAGATACTGTAATTTAAAAAATATATTTATTTATTTATTTGAAAGGCAGGGTTACAGAGACAGAGATCTTCCATCCACTGCTTCACTCCCCCAAATGCCCACAACAGCTGGGTTGGGCCAGGCAGAAGCCAGGAGAAAGGCACTCCATCAGGGTCTTCCACAGGCATGGTGGGGACCCAAGCACTTGGGCCACCACCATCTGTTGCCTTCCCAGGTGCATTAGTAGGAAGCTAGATTGGAAGCAGAGGAGTCTCTAACCAACTTCCTATATAGGGTGCAGTCATCCTACGCCCAGTGTAACCCACGGCACCACAACACCTACCTCATAAATGTAAATTTTTCATGCTATGGTTCCAAGTGTATTTTCAACTGCTCAACTTTGCATCTTTAATAAGATCTGCTGGTTATCAAAGCATGAATTTTTAAATTTCTGTTGTAAAATACACAGCATGAAATTTATCATTTTAATTTTTTAAAGATTTTATTTATTTATTTGAGAGGTAAGTTACAGATAGTGAGAGGGAGAGACAGAAATGTCTTCCGTCCACGGATTCACTCCCCAAATGGCCACAATGGCTGGAGCTTCTTCAGGAGCCAGGAGCTTCTTCCAGGTCTCCCACATGGGTGAAGAGAGCCAAGCACTTGGGCCATTTTCTACTGCTTTCGCAGGCCGTAGCAGAGAGCCGGATTGGAAGAAAAGCAGCCGGAACTAGAACCGGTGCCCATATGGGATGCCAGCACTGCAGGTGGAGGATTAACCTACAACACCACAGCGCCGGCCCCTCATTTTAATCTTTTCCAGTGTAGAGTTTAATGATGTTAAGTATGCTCACATTGTGTGCAGCTGTCACCCCTATCCATTTCTAGAACTTTTTATCATCCCAAACTGAAACTGTACCCTTGAAACACTCATTCCTTGTTGTCTCCCACCTTGAGCTGCTGCCACCTACTAGTCTACTTTCTAAGACAGGTTTTTTGCTTATTTGTTTTGGTTTTTTGGTGATGGTGGGGAGGTTATTTAGTGAGATTTTTCTCCTCATCCCCCAGAAACGGCACCCAAGCTTCATGATCAGTGGGATTATTGGCTCCAACTGGAGGGTTCAATGCATCAGTTTAGAAACCACCACCACACAAGAAAAAAGAATTAGTGTATGTTTCCAGCTCAGATGGCTACCTTAGGACTAGTGAGGAGTATTAATACAGGGGCAGTTCATTTTTAGCACTGAAGAACTGTTGCATACCCATCACACACACTCTGTGGCCTTGTGAGTGGTGCATAATGACCCAGAAAACAACCCGCTCCTCCTATTATGTGCAACTGCTATAAATTAATGCTATTAATTTTCATTAACGAATAAATAACTCCAGCCCTGCATACATTTAATTTCAAAATCATTCTTTGAAAAGGACAGAAAAGGAAGCAAGATTCTGCCACATTTCCAAAACCCAAGCATTCTATAAAGTAAAGTGTTGAAGTTCAAAAGATCAAGATTTTTTTAAAAATTTAAAATTTTTATTTTATTTGAAAGGCAGAGAAAGAGAGAGCGTGCTTCTATCTGCTGTTCATTCCCCAAATGCCCACAGCAGCCAGGGCTGGGCCTTGCAAAGCCAGGAACTCAATATAAGTTGTTCATGTGGGTGGCAGGGTCCCAAGTACTTGAGCCATCACTGAATGCCTTCCAGGGTGCACATTAGCAGGAAGCTGGAACTAGAGGAGTGGAATTAGGAACCAGGTAGTCTACTATGGGATGCAGGCATCCCAAGCGGCAGCAGCCACTGTGGCAAACACCTGGCCCAAGACCAAGATTTTGACCTCAAGGCGCTGTTTGAAAAAGCACATCCTGGATGTAGCACTTTAACTCCATTAAACCAAAAGCTAAATATCTGCTCCTTCCTGTTGCCAGCATCATCCAGTGTTTTATCTCCAGTGATAGAACATGACCACCAAGTGATTGCAAGAGGGGATCATAGTATAAAGGACACAAGGAAATTTTGGGGGCTGATGGAAATATTCACTTTGATTGTGGTGATGGGCTCACTGGTATATACATATGTCAGACTTATCAAGGTGCACACTCCAAATATGTGTAGTCCTCTCTATGTCAATTAAACTTCAATAAAGCTGTAAAATTTTTTCTTTAATGTTCAATCAGGAACCTCTCATTCTTTCCCCCATTGACAACAAATGTAGCTTCTCATTGATCTTAAATGTTGCTAGACCTATCCAGTCAATTCCTCCAGAGTAGCTTGGCATAGCTCGAAATTTGACTAGTAGCAAAAAGCATTCTTAGTTGGCCATAACAAGTGAATATTTTCATGTCTACTACAGAATATCAAAACATTATAGACACAGAGTTACACAGTTTACAGCCAGAGACTCTAAAATGTTTCAAAAGCTGAAAAGTTTTGAAATGTTCTCTTTTTAACCAAAGGAAATGATTTCTGAACCAACAGTATGAAAACAGAAAGGGGCGGGTCTTTCACCTCGTGGTTAAATTGTGCCTCTGTGCCTCAAAGGAGGACTTGGGGTCAATTCCTGATCCTGGCTTCTCGCTCCAACTTCTGGCTTATGCTGACTGTGGAAGGCAGTGAAATGGCTCAAGTAATTGGGTTCCTGCCAGCCATATAAAATATCTGATTTGTGATCCCAGCTCCTGGATCCAGCCCAGCCTAGCCCTGGCTATTGCAGACATTTAGGGAGGGAACCATCAGATGAGAGAACTCTCAGTCTCTCAAATAAATGAAGTAAAAAAAAAAATTAAAGCAGTAGAGGCTGACATTGAGGAACAGGATTAAACTGTCTATGACATCACATCCCATACTGGAGTGCCGTTCGAGTCCCAGTTGCTCCGTTTCCAATCCAGCTCCTGGATCAGCAGACTTGGACCCCTGCTACTCTCATGGCGGACCCATATGGAGTTCCAGGCTACTGGTTTCAGCCTGGCCCAGCTCTGGCTGTTGTAACCATTCGGGAAGTGAACCAGCAGATGGAAGATCTCCCTCTGGCTCTCCTTTCTCTGTCACTCTGCCTTTTAAATAAATAAAATAAATCTTTCTAAAAATTTTTAAGCAGTAGAAAACCAAAAAGCAGTATTTGTGCACTCAGAAAGTCTCTTTAAGTATTTCAGTGCCTTTACCAGTCATATCAGGTACTCAATACATCCAG